AAAAAAATGTAGAAATCATTTTGGTTGGAAACAAAATGAACAGAAACGAAAATATCTTGGAAAGACTATTGATTAGCCACAGAAAAATAAGAAAGTTTTTACCGACTTAAATTTTTCAATATGACAAAACTTTATTTATTTATTTTGAGATAATAATTTGAAGAGAAATATTTTGATGATATCATTCCTCTTTTTTGATATCCTAATTCTTTGACGAATATTTTCCTTCTGAGTACAGAGACTGAGTGCATAGCTTAAGAAATTGTTCAGAAACGAGTCCATTTATTTCTAAACCACAATTCATTCGAAGTACGATCAAATGATTGCGGCAAACATTATTTATGATTGAGCATGTTTGAATCGCAGTTTTAAAATCGTTGTCTACTTTTTCTTTTATGGAAGAATTTTGTCACCACAATGAGTCTGCTCAACGAAATGGATTGTAAAAGAGATCCTGCCGAAATTGAAATTTCTTTCTTTTACTTCTTGAGAGTTCGAAGATACGTATATTTGTTAGACGAATAACGACAATACAATCTCAATGAAAAGTTACTTTACGGTATCTTAAGGATTTAAATGCTTAAGTATTATACAGGAAGAAATAATTAATGCTGACACACCGAATCAACCTACGTAGTCTAAATGGTCTTCGCATTACGGATTCATGTTTTGACGTTAAATAAAACAAATAATTTTTAAAAAAAATTGTAAGTCAATTCCTACTTAGGTCAACAAAGAAAATTTTTATTTTAGTTACTTTTTATTAAATAGTTACAATGAATATAAATATGTATATATATATGACAGAATCACACACACAATATTAAATGACAAAATAAAAGCAATTTTCCTCTCTATATGTGGTGTTGGGCTATCTTTTGTTTGTTTGTACAATTTATTCATTAAATAAATTTAATTATTCTAATAAAACAGTATAGTAAAAAAAGAAACCACATTCTCAGAAATTAGGTCATCCAGGTGTGATTCGAACGCACGACCTTTGGATTAGAAGTCCAACACGCTATCCATTGCGCTACAGGCACACAACGAATGAATTTTCTTTCTATATATGGTGTTGTACTGTTATTTCTGTTTGTTTATATTTATTCATTTTTGAATTTAATGAATGAATTAAAATATTTGAGAAAACTGTATTAACATCAAGTATCATCCACTACAAGTTTAAAAAAAATGTATTTGAACTTGAATGGATGA